TTTCATTTTGAGTTATAAAAATTAGCCTGTATTGGCTTACTTCTCCTGTGCACTTCAAGCGTCGGTTCCTCGATCCTTTAAGCTCTTAGCTTCTTCTTGCACTCTGTGCGTTGTTTCTTTGAACCTTAAGCTTATTGCTTGTAAACTAGAAGTCCCTCCTAGTTTCGTAGAACGGGTAGACTTTTTAAGTCGTTTGATTAGTTCCTTAGCACTAAGTGGCTATAAGCCGTCAACTTTTATTATTTTTTATGACTAACAAGCTTTTAGCCTTTAGAGTCTTCTTCTGAAAAAACTGTGTAGCTCCGATAATCGTGTATGCATTTTTGAATTTGATATCCTCATCGAATTGCCTAATAACGGGGATACCTTCATAGTAAGTGAGCGCATGGTTTAGCGGCACTAAATCAAAATAAGTCTATCCTGAAATGCACCTGGGAATATACAAAAGCGCAAAGTAGTGGATACATTCCAAGTCAATTCACGCCAATCTGCTGTCAAAAGACGCTTGTGGCATTCCCATTCTGTTTAAGCTCTATACTCCTTATAACGAGCCATGCAAGCCCGGTATTTTACTCAAGTGGAAAGGTGTGTTAGATATGGACATGTTCAAGGTAAGGTTAACTATTGCACCGCTAGTCGCCCTGTTGGACAGACGCAGGACAACGGAAATGATGACGATCAGTGATTATGGGTGTGTTGTCAGTCATTGTCCAAGGTAAATCAGTGAGTATGGTATAGCATGTCTAGTATGAGAAAGGATTGGCTTAGAAGTAGCACTTGTTGTATTAACTAAGGATTAAATGTATGTGGGTATTCAATTAACCACCTAGTAAGCACTACTCATCTGCTCAAAAAAGCTAGATTCAAGAGACTGGCTTTATATACGGGACAAGCGCGCCAACGCCAGTCAGCTTCGACGACGGCCACGAAAAAGTCCACATCATCTTTAGTGGTGGTTCAAAGCGTATCGACATCTCGCGAAAAGGACGATGACGTCAACGCGCGGATACTCGCGACTCTCGTCGACCTCAAAGCGCGAATGACGCAGACGGAGGTATCGCACCAGAAGATCAATGAAGACGAGCGGATGATGGACGCGATTGATTTGCAAATTTTCGCTCTGCACTTGCCAATGGTCACGGTGGCGCACCGCTGCATATTGATGTACTCAAAAATTTCCCGGTCCGTCCAAGAACTGGACAAGGTCGCGAGAGATTGTTACAGCGTGGAGAAGGCCAAGATGATGCGCTGCCATAATGGCGGGTACCGCTAGCAGCACCACCGGTGCGCGCACAGTATTTCAGCTTGGAGTACGCAGTGGATTGAATTACGCGAGACGGATGGATCCGGACGCGCAGCGAGCAATGTGTGGTGGAGTGGGTTCTCAAGATTGTACGATGCGACCCCAAGCCACTCACTGTGCCGGACTGTCGACCGTCGGAGGGGGGTACCGCGATGCGGCGTATGAACCTTCTTCTCACCTTGTGTATCCGTCGGCTGGCGGGTTGCGCTCTTCGGAAGACTTGGGTAGGATGTGGATGTCTGCCTTGAGGGAGGTAGACTTGGGGGGCCTCGAGTGGATGTGCTTCACTCAGTGGGCCGGTAGGTGGCCACTCGATCGACCTTGTCGAGAGTGGAATTAGAGCCAATTCTTCAGGTAGCTTGTCGTCCCTGGCCTTTTCCTTGTTGTTTCAGGGGTATTAGCCATCTGACCTTTACTTTGCTCCCGGACGTGAGGTAAGGGAGACCGCTTCCGATAGCGGGTCTTAGGGGGTGTTGCTACTCGAGCGAGCTCACAGGCCAAATATATCCTGGAGCTCTATTCGCATTTGAACTTAACCTCGCAAATGTCTTCAACGGGGGGCCAAAATGCATCCCTTCCCGGAACAGGTGGGTAGCTTAGAACAAGTCCTTCTTGGGTGACGGAGTCGTGCCACGTAGATCGCAATTTAAGTAATCTTTAATATAGTCCTATTCTTTTAACTCCTCTTTACTCTATCCTTGCCTGAAAATTTGGTTCCTTGCGTCGACTGGTCTCATTTGTGGTGAAGTGCAGCTTTTGCGATATGGGGACCCCAGAATCCAGTTGGATTCGGAGTATAGACCGTGTGGCAGAGAAAAGAGACCAGAGAGACAGGGGCCTTGAGGGGCCTTGAGGGGAGCGACCTTTGGCGGATAACAATCTGCTGGACCCACAGAAGAAAAATCAGTATCAGGGTTCTGGTTAATCGTTACCGAAGGGAGTTGTCTATGGCCCATCATTAATCGACCCGGCCCCTCATTGGTAGACCCGGGTCCCTCGTCGGTCCACCTCGGCCCCTCATCTGTCAACCCGGTCCCTCGTTGTTATACCTGAGTCCCTTATTGGCCGACCCGGCCCCTCATCAGTCTACTCGGTTCCTCATTGGTCGACCCGGTCCCTCATTGGTCGACCCGGTCCCTCGTTGGTAGACCTGGTTCCCTCGTTGGTAGACCTAAGTCCCTCGTTGGTAGACCCGGCCCCTCATCAGTCGACCTGGTCCTCATTGGTCGACCCGGTACTTCGTTGGTAGACCTGGTTCCCTCGTTGGTAGACCTGGGTCCCTCGGGGTTCTGCCACTCCTGACCACTTAACACAAGGATCAGACAAGTCGACGCAAAGAATCAAATTTTCAGGCAAGGATAGAGTAAAGAGGAGTTAAAAGAATAGGACTATATTAAAGATTACTTAAATTGCGATCTACGTGGCACGACTCCGTCACCCAAGAAGGACTTGTTCTAAGCTACCCACCTGTTCCGGGAAGGGATGCATTTTGGCCCCCCGTTGAAGACATTTGCGAGGTTAAGTTCAAATGCGAATAGAGCTCCAGGATATATTTGGCCTGTGAGCTCGCTCGAGTAGCAACACCCCCTAAGACCCGCTATCGGAAGCGGTCTCCCTTACCTCACGTCCGGGAGCAAAGTAAAGGTCAGATGGCTAATACCCCTGAAACAACAAGGAAAAGGCCAGGGACGACAAGCTACCTGAAGAATTGGCTCTAATTCCACTCTCGACAAGGTCGATCGAGTGGCCACCTACCGGCCCACTGAGTGAAGCACATCCACTCGAGGCCCCCCAAGTCTACCTCCCTCAAGGCAGACATCCACATCCTACCCAAGTCTTCCGAAGAGCGCAACCCGCCAGCCGACGGATACACAAGGTGAGAAGAAGGTTCATACGCCGCATCGCGGTACCCCCTCCGACGGTCGACAGTCCGGCACAGTGAGTGGCTTGGGGTCGCATCGTACAATCTTGAGAACTCACCCCACCACAGTACGTTATCCCACCGCTGGGCGCCTGTTGGACAGACGCAAGACTATGAACATGATGAATATCAGTGATTATGGTTGTGTGTAGTATGAGAAAGGAGTGGATTAGAGGTAGCACTTGTTGGCGAACTAAGGAAGGACCAAATGTATGTTGGTATATAATTAACCACTTAGTGAGCAATACGCATCTGTTCGAAAAAGGTGCGATATGGTGCACTAACTACAGCGTTAATATGCAGCGGTAACATGCATCTGTAAGGTCAAACATGTGTCTGAGTCTGAGCTAATCAGAATTTGTGCTTTGAATGCGTCCACAATAACGTCAAGCAGTTTTAACACAGAATACTTAAGAACGGCACTTTAATGTATGTATGTTAACGCGTTACGCGAGCCGTCTTGCCACCAAAGTGGCTCAACTTCCGCATGCGTCGGGTTATCTCTCTTCTCTACATTTCTCTCTACTCGCGCCAGGGTCCATTAAGCGGCGCGCGCTATATGCGCCGCGCTGAAGGCCGTCCAGGCTGCACGATCCTTTGCACACCGGCAAAGGAGGTGCAGGTCTGGGGCCAGTCGACGGCGGTGTCCAGCGGTAGGTTTCTTGCTTGGATCCAGTGGATGTCTATCTTGTCGACAGGTCCTACCCAGGGAGGGTCTCTTGTTGCTTGCACCGTGGAACAAAGGATTATGCGAGCGTACCTAAGCGGAGATGCCGGGACTTCGGGACTTCGGGCGTGGCGGCGTACATCGTGGCGGCGTACATCGTGGCGGCTTGACTGGCGGCTGGGGGTGAGAGCGGCAAGAGAGAGGTGTGTAGAGGGAGAGAGGCCCGTCCTAAACTGACGGATACCGCGAAGCATCCGTCCAAGGCCCAACTAGCATTAAGCTAGCTCAGGCCTTCCGGGAGGGCGTTACCCCAACCCGACCAGGATCGGGACTCTAAATGTAAGCTAAAAGTGAAAAAGTGACAAAACTTAGGTAGGATAAGCACATGGTAATCGTCTTGATCGCGCGATCAACTACAGGTGCAGTAGCTCCTATTTTGTGGCATGCAGAGATTTGAATACATTAGAATTTAAGTAGGTTTAGAGCAAAATCAAATATTTTCTACCGGAGGTAAAAGTATTATTTATATTAAGTGACAGATATTTGAGTCATCGGATCTGACCAAAAAGAAATTTTACAAGAGTCTCCATTTCATGATAGTACTACCAGATATGACCAATAACGAAGAAAACAACTTGATTGTTAACTATCTGATGAGTTCAACGTGTGGCTGTGCAAGCAGCGCATTTATTTAGATTTTAATTCAGGCTTAATTTAGGTTTTACTCAAATCTAAATAAAATCTAGACCGCAAAAAATAATACCTACTTCATAAATTTCTAGGGTAGGTCACACTTGTAGGACATAGAGACAAACAGAAAACAAGATTTCGACGGATGATGGCTACAACAACGTCATGGCAACAGTACCGCGATGACACTGATGTAGCCAGTATCAATACTGCCATTGATGCAACAGAACCGCCAGTAGTATTGGCGCACCTGTTGCCATGACATTGATGTACAGTATCTTAGTTTCTTTTTGTCTCCTTTTCCTCCAATTAAACCTTCTCATTCGCTTTAATATCAATAAATCGAAATTTACAATTTCTTTACTCCAAAAGGAAACCCCGCATTATCAATTCTGCAGTTAAAAGGAAAAGAACGAAAAATGGGCGACGAGTGCGCGGGCAACAGCGTTTACTCCACTTCCGCACCTCTACGCTCTTTCATAAACGATAGCGTACTCCTTACCGACACCAATAGCAGCAGAAAGCGTCCGATAGACGCACTAAATGGTCTTGTTACACGCTCTCCACCCTCTTCTCCATCAGTGCGCGTGTCCAACCTTCCTTCTCTGCCACAAATTTATAAAACGAACATCTCAAGCTCAAGAATAAACAGCAGTTTCTCATCTGTGTCTACGTTATCGTCTTCATGGAGTGTCAAGAGCACACGAGACTTGGAGCAAGAACCGGATGACCCACTATCACTTAAACGTTCGAGAAGAGCGCCTGTTTCTGTTGAGGAGTCGATTCTGATCAGTGACATGTCAGAGCACCGAGGTATGATGCTAAGTAGTGTAACACAAGACAGAGACAAGAAAGACGAGCAATTTGAAGCATTGAGAGAAGATTCCCAAACTCTGATGGAAGGGATGCGTATTTCCCAGCAAAACACACAAGAATGTACACATACATTAGAAGATAGTCCCTCCCTGTGTCTCATGAGACTTGTACTGCATCCTGAAGTGGACAGAGCCGTGACTGCTTTTCAAAAGAATGCATTAAAAAAGAAGGGACTATATCGCATTGAAATGCACATGCTCAAGCCTAAAGTAAAGCTTGGAAGAGAAGAATATGGGCATATTTTTGATAAAAAGACAAGTGCATTCGATCCAGTTAAATTAAGCAGAACACACTGTATTATTGAGACGGCACTCGATCCAGAGACACATCGGCATACAGTTTTTATTACAGACAAAAGTACAAATGGAATTAGAATCGATGGAGTTCAGGCACAAAAGGACAAAAAGTATAAGCTGGTGGACGGACAGAAGATAACACTGTTATCGTCTCGACAGGGAGATGTGCTGCTTGGATATGTCGTGGAAGATCCTCATGTAAGAGGAGTGCAAGAAAGCACGAGAGTGAACGAATTGCAGGATGCATCTCAACAGGGACCAAACTTCCAGGAGTACACAATGGGTGTGTTGTTTTCGGCCCCATTAGTCGGAAAAGACAATCAGGGCAAGTACCATCCTATCGCTGAGTTGGACGTTAAGCGCGAGTACTTTATCCTACAAAAGAGTCTGATAGAAGCATCGAAATTTGCAAAGCGACTTGCAACAGGTAATGACGGATTAAGCAACAGCGTCCCTGGCACTTTGTCCACGGTGTATCAATGCCCGCGTCGAATCAGCGTGGTTGCCAAGTTTGCGAACACGGATACATTTCGAGCCATGATTACGCTTGGATGTCGAACACTTCACTTCTCAGGCCATGGCAATGAGAATCACTTGTACTTTGAAGATGGAATGGGGTTGGTGCATCCGATCCCGCACAAAGGTCTGCAGGAATTGTTTTTGGCAGGCGGTGGGGGTGAGTCAACATTGCGTCTTGTATTTGTTTCTGCATGCTCCTCTGCAGCGCTGGCTTATGCTTTCGTATCATGTGGAATTCCGCACGTCATCGGTGTTCGCACTAATCAAGAGATCGAAGATTACGCGGCTATTGAGTTTACGCGCGCGTTCTACCTGGCACTTGCAACCGGTAAGTCTGTGGGGGCAAGCTTTACCATAGCGCAACAATCGGTTGCAAAATCGCCAAATATTCGAGGACCCATGGCAGTTGCTAAAAAGTTTATGCTACTTCCAGAGGACGGCGATCATTCAGAGATTATTTTTCCGTTAGCTATCGTTGAGTCTTCGGATACGATTAATTTCGAGTCAATGAAGTCCAATCGATATCCTAAATTATGGTTCGATGGCTTGCCAGCAATTTGCCAAGGATTTTGTAATCGCTCTGTCGAAGTGTACAAGATATGTCTTGCTTTGATGATGACGCAGTCTCGGATCACACGTCTTGTGACAATTTGCGGTGAGGAAGGTATCGGTAAGACAGCGGTTGCCCATGCTGTGGCAAACTATGTTGGACCGCGTATTACTTCGGAAGGAGGGGTCCGGATATTTTCGGTGGCCAGGCTTGCCCAGGACGAAATAGATGAGAACGTGGGAGTGATGCGGCGTAACATCAACATTGCGAACGTCAGATGCCGCGTACTGAGTCGGTTAGAAATGATGGTGTCGGATCATCTCAAGCAACACAAGGCTCGAATTGAGCTCGACGGTCAGCAAATGCTGATGGTCATGGATGGTTGCGATTATCTTGTGAGCGGATACGCTCGTCGCGACCATTTCCGCGCTTTCCTGTCGGATATCCTGACGAATAATGCATCTTTGAAGGTCGTGCTGACAACAAGGACGTCTATCTGTACGGATGGTGCTGTCTGCGGTCATGGGGAGCGGTTGTATACGCTTTCAAAGTTTGACATGAAGAACGCGACGATGATGCTGGTGCGTCTTATGAGCCGGCCTATTCGTATTGAAGAGCTGAAGCGCGCGCGCATTACTAGCTCCTCCGATAAGCTAGAGCTTATTGCTTCTCACCCGGCACTCATAGCCACGAAGGGTATTCCCAAAGGCATAGCTGACCTTGCTGGCAGACTCAACGAGACAACCATGGACGAAATTCTCGTGGACGAGACTGACTTGAATCTTATAGATCGAATAGAATCGTAGGATATATCGAGGGTGATTCGGACTTGTGGTGCGTGTTGAACATACTTGCGGAAGTCTCAAATGACCCGACCTTATGTATTATAATGTGACGATAGGTTTAACTGCGATCAAGTTCTTTTTCGTGATCCCTCTACACGAGAAAAAGGTGAGCTTCCAGTCGGATTGTAATTAGAATGAATGCTGTGAACGTGCGTGTTGACGATACCTTTCACGAGTTGTTAAACAATTCGCTATTTAGAATTGCAGGTGTGCATATCCAGGATAATCTTAATCTCAACTCTTAAGTCTCAAATCTATACACGTACTCAATTTCTCCTGCCACTGACATGTAAGAAACAAACTCGTTTCACGGAACAGCCGTTACAATGGCGGTTTCTCGGGTGTGCAATCTACCGATAAAACGCTGCCTTGCCGTGCTTAACCTGCCGACTGTGATGTTGTTGTCAGCCACCGTTATTGAGATCATACTGGGCTTTGCGCATACGTGTGGTCGGTCTATTGCCAGGTGGTATGGAAATGATCTCGCCGAAACACTTTTCAGCTGCGTACAGTCATGGCAAGCAGCGACGAAAAGAACACCAAACGTTACTTGTAGTTAAGCGTTTGTTTCTTGTCTTGCTGCCCACTCTGATCCATTATTCTTTTGTATCAAAATGTCCCGCATGGACGGATTCCCTAACAGATCTCCATTGGAATTGGGCCGTTGCTCTCGTTCTTTCTGTCGATGGGGCAAAAGTAGATGCCACCCCAGGCTTCGCTTCGATTGCGCTTAAAGTGCATATCTGGGTCGTAGCCACCTGCAAGTTGCTGCTGACGTCGCAGCTTCTTTGACTCGTTGACAGCAAAGTTTGGTCCACGTTTGCCTCCGGGAACTGGAACTGGCTGAGGCCCGCCAATTACTCCAGGCTGGAACCCCATCATAGCAGCTTCCATCTCTGCTGTAACAGCCTGATCGATCGGAATCGCAGTTGTCGTCGCACGCAACTTTGACACGTCACTTTCGTCCCGTTCTCCTAATGCCACCTCCATCAACTGCGCCTTTTGACGCTCTAGATCCGCTTCAAACTGCGAATCCTCACGCTGTTGAAGCTGACGACGTTCCTCAGCCAATCTCTGTTGTTCTGCAATCAATTGCGCCATTCGTCGTTCCTCGTCTGCTTTCTTGGCATCATTTGTAGCTATAGAAATGGCATTTTCTTGCCGATATTGCTTCCACTGTTTTTGTGCTGCAGTCTTTTCACCTTCATTACCATACACTAGATCAAAAACTACCGTAACATCGTCAGTAAACACTCTTTTGTCCTCCTACTACACAATAGCAATATCTCTTTACTGAGGTTCTCCAGTGTCTCTAGATAGTCATTATACTCGTCCAGCGTGTCAAAGTCGTCCTCTGTTTTATTATAGCTACAAACCGACCACATTTATGTTAGAGTTCACAATTACCTCTAGATAGTTATAAAACACCATCGTATCCTCACTCTTTGGTCACTTTCTTCCGTATCGACGTCTCTTTGGCAAAATTGAGCTCCTCAATGGTCTTGTCTTGCAATTGAGACTTCTTTACTGCCTTCTGGCAGGCAGGACACGCGATCTCGCGCTGGTGTTGAAACTCACGCTTAATGCAGTGGTCACAGCTATGATAGGGGTACACTTTCGGGTTACTCTCTTTTAATTTTACGAGCATTCTATTCTAGAGAGACGTACAAACGATGGCCACATTTCGAGATGAGCATCTTCATCTTCGTGTTGAGGTAATTGCTGTCATCTTCGGCTGATGTGCCACACACGCAGCAGCGCAATGCCAGCTCTTCCGCCTCATCCGCTGCTGTCATATTTACCCCTTGTTCACGATATTTTAATTCTACAAGAGAGGGACACACAGAGGATACACTCTGTAACCTTGTATACCTTTTTGTTTACACTACGTAACCATGTATACATAAAGGTTACTCTTTGGATACATGAACGCTGACAAGATGGCGGCAGTAGAGCGTGTCTTAATGGAGCTGACGCGACTAAACGAGGATAATTTAGCACCCTCTACTCCCTCTTCATCGCCTTCTTCATGTGCTTCAGCTATGAAACAATTTTCCATTGTCTCAGCGTCTTCAGTAGCTCCCGAGGCGGTGGTAATCGTACCCCACCATAACCCCACACCATTTGCATTGCCACGAGTACGTCTGACATCTCCATATAAGGACCAAGCAATAGTCAAGAAGGAATTGGAGAAAATATGTCATCCTCTATTCGCATTAGAACGTCTAGGACCTTTTTCTCGTGGCTGGAGAGCCAATACGAAAAAGGTTACGGTCTCACAAAGTCGGTTATTGGCACAAATGCCCATGTCGACACCTCATCAGGAACTATTTCCGACACGGGAATCAATAGTGAAAGACCCGTTGAAGCTTCAATACAAATTTCAAGCTGTAAACGTCTCAAGAACAGGAGAAAACATCACATTTAGCACTGCATTAAGCAAACAAGATGAGTACGCTCGAGGTACAATGAGCAAAAAGCCTTTTTCTCCTGGAGGTGACTCTCTCGTGGAGCTAGAGACGGACGAGACAGAAAATCAGCTGAATTTTATGCAAAAATTATTGCTCAAAGAGGAGGAACAATATCGAAATCTCCTCGTGTTAGGAGACGGTGATGAACTGGATGAGAATCTACTGAAGAGTCTCGTGTTTGAAGTCCCCGGTATTAATGGCTGCTTGACTGCAGAAGATGTGAAAAAGATTGAGAAAAATGAAGATGAAGTGGAGGAAGAGGAGGAAATTAAGATAGTAGGAGTGAACCCCAAGTCACTGCTTTTGCCTTATATTGAAGCTGTAACAGATAAAGATCATGTGGCTGCTATCCAGAGTGCTGTTATGGATGAAAAGGCTGCGAATGCAATGAGGCAGAATGATGAAAACACGACGGTTGGACTGGACCAGCTGCTGCGGGAAATGGAGGATGATGGAGAATTGATAGAGCTGGGCTTCTCACTTGAGGTTGAAGAGCAAGAAACTGCAGAGGACGACAAGCACAATGAAGTTGAATCGGAGCAAGTGAGTATGACCGCCAAGGTTGCAAAATCTGGAGCTGAGTCTGACGGAGCTACTGGTGAAGAGGACACACTTGAAGATCCAGAGACTATACTGGAGTCAATTCTTGATTTATCTTTCGAGTCGACAGCCTTAACGTTGCACAGAAAAACGGGCTCGATGATGGAGTGGGCAAGCATGGTGAGCGTCGATGTGCGCAACTTCCATGAAAAGGTACCGGAAATGGCCATGAAGTACGAGTTTGAATTGGACGTGTTTCAAAAAGAATGCGTGATCCATTTAGAACGGCATGAATGCGTGTTTGTAGCCGCACATACCTCTGCTGGCAAGACTGTTATTGCAGAATATGCCATTGCGATGTCTCAGAAGCACATGACTCGTACCATTTACACATCACCCATTAAAGCGCTTTCGAACCAAAAGTACCGCGACTTCCGCACCAAGTTTGGCCCTGACAATGTTGGCTTAATTACAGGTGATGTCAGCATCAACCCTGACGCAAGTTGTCTTGTCATGACAACGGAGATCCTGCGTTCAATGCTCTATCGTGGCGCCGATATTATTCGCGATATTGAATGGGTTATCTTTGATGAGATTCACTACATCAACGATAGTGAACGTGGAGTAGTTTGGGAGGAAGTGATAATTATGCTTCCCGAACATATCGGTATGGTGTTTTTGTCGGCAACCACTCCAAATCACTTGGAATTCTCGGATTGGATTGGACGTACGAAGAAGCAGAAAATTCACGTAATATCTACTACTAAGCGGCCCGTCCCCCTCCAACACTTTCTTTATTCTGGAAAGGCATTAATTAAGCTATATGATGCCACTTCTGGGTATCTTCCTAATGCTCATGGTGCAGCCAAGGCAAAACTTTACCCTGCGTCAGAAAAATCAAAGTCAGGTGGTCGAGGCGGTGGAGCCGTATCTAGGGGTGGTGGTAGTAGCGCAAACGCGCGTAGCATTCGCACGTCGGGAGGCAATCAAGGAGAGTGGACGAAGCTTATCAATACCTTGAAGGACAAAGCACTTCTTCCAGTGGTAGTATTTGCCTTTAGCAAGCGTCTGTGCGAGGAGAGTGCAAGTAAGTTGGCTAAGCTTGATCTGAGCACGCCATCGGAGCGATCTGAAATCCACCTCTTTCTTGAAACAAGTGTGCAAAGACTTCATGGATCTGATCGTGAGTTGCCACAGGTGCTAACGATAAAGGAAATGCTCAAACGTGGCATTGGTGTGCACCATGGTGGTCTGCTCCCAATTATCAAGGAGATGGTCGAAATCTTATTCGGCCGTGGTCTTGTCAAGGTGCTGTTCTCGACAGAGACGTTTGCAATGGGCGTGAATATGCCTGCTCGTACGGTTGTGTTTAACGGAATCCGTAAGCACGATGGAAAGAATTTTCGAGACCTTTTGCCCGGCGAATACACACAAATGGCTGGCCGAGCTGGCCGTCGTGGTCTGGACTCGGTTGGTACCGTTATCATTGCATGCTGGAACGATATTCCCGAGCCCACATCGCTGAGGACAATGTTAGCAGGAAAGGCAACGCCACTTTCCAGCCAGTTCCGCCTGACATACAACATGATTCTGAACCTATTGCGAGTGGAGGTGCTGACGGTGGAGGATATGATGAAGCGCTCGTTTTCGGAATTTCACACACAAAAGGCGCTTGCATCAAAGAATATTCCCAAGTTAATCCAAAAGGGTAAGAAACTGCTTCAGCAACTTGAGCGGTCTCTAGTGGAAGACTATCCGCACCTTGAAGCGAGTGGAGAGCTTGCACAGATGCAGGAGTTCTACCAGCTTAAGCGCACTAAGCGTGAACTGGAAACGAAGTTGACGAAGTGGCTGCTTGCAAACAACATACAAGCTGCCAAAAATGCGATCGCACCTGGTCGAATTGTGATTCTTAATGTGAAGGGGCTGTCGTCTGATCAATTGGCACTGGTGGTGCGCACGAATGCTGCATTGTTGGGCGAGGGTGGATCTGCCAGGTCAAAGCTCTCGTTCGAAACCGATCTTCAGAGCTCGACTGTTACTGGCGGCGGACACAAGGGGGTATTCAAGTCAATTATGGTAATCACACTCTGCCCAGACGACTACCAGCCTCCAAGGGTGGAGAAACCATCAGCCACCAAGAAAAGTTTTCACAGCCTTTTGGGGAGCGGGCGTCTGTTGCGTAGCAAGAGGGATGATGACGATGATCGTATGTTTGGGAGGGTAGCCATGCAGGGAAAATCTGCGAGCCAAGAAAGCTTGGAGCTCACGGCTCCATCAACCGCTACGCTCTTAGGAGTAAAGTACGCTGTGCTGGAAGTCCCTGAGAGCTGTGTTGAGAGTGTCACCTCTATTGTAGCCTCAAGTGTAAACACGAAAACGCTCGTGGCCTCGTCATCGAAGAAGGAGCTTGCCAGTAGTATTGTTTTCCTGGTAAAGCTCGAGAAGGATGCCTTAGCAACGCAGAAGGCAGCCATTGCTTACGTCGATTTAAGGGGTGAACTCAAGGTCAATGACCTCGAAGTCGCGACAGGCTACGCGCAGTGGCAGCAGTTGTACTCGATGGTGCTTAACCATCCATGTGCAACAGATTCACCATCAGTTTCTCGTGTCATGGGCAAAGTTGAGAAAACTTTCAGGTTGAAAGCCTATTTGGTACGGATGACCCGAGAATTGTCGAATGACTCGTTGTCACTCTTCCCAGACTTTCAACAGCGACTAAGTGTGCTGAAACGACTCGGGTACATTTCAGAAGATGGTGTCGTACAGGTTAAGGGTCGGGTAGCGTGCGAGATTAACACGTGCGAAGAGCTGGTGTTGACAGAGATGATTTTCGAAAATGTGCTAGCGAACCTGGAGCCTGAAGAGATTGTTGCGGTGCTTTCTGCGCTTATTTTTCAAGAGAAGTCGCAGTCTGAGCCAACGCTCACCCCCCTACACTGGAGATAACTCGCGATGTGGTCAAGAACATCGCAGAATCGCTTGGTCTCATCCAGCTGGAGCAGCAATTGGAAATTGATCCTGCAGTCTACTGCAAGGGTGCTCTCAACTTCGGCCTGATGGAAGTTGTTTACGAGTGGGCAAGAGGAATGCCGTTCAAGCAACTGTGTGAGCTCACCGACGTTCAGGAAGGCTCTATCGTGCGCTGCATTACACGTTTGGATGAGATTTGCCGTGAAGTACGCAATGCTGCTCGCGTGATTGGCGACCCGCAGCTTTACCGCAAGATGGAAGTCGCATCTGAGGCCATCAAACGTGACGTTGTGTTCGCCAGCAGTTTGTACCTGTCCTAGTTGAGAGAACATAATCGATAAGTCCGTGGCGATTCTTATTCGTATAATCAATGAGATTATTGAACAGTATTCGACGTTGAGCTAGCCGAAACGTACATGCGATTTAGGCCATACTTCCGAACTAGCAGTTCCCTTTGCTTTCGGAGCAGGGTTGCTTGTAATTGCTGGAATCGGCCTCTGTGCAGCAGCTTGTTCAGTGCCGTTGATAGTAGCAGGTGGGTCAACAACACTTTCTGCCGAGCAATGCAAATGCTCTAGGGATTGACGACAATTGTTGGCGTATTCTTCGACCATGATTTTTCGCCGTGTTGTCAATTGCAGCTTCGAAGAGCTCAGCACGACACCCAACACGCTTGTGAGGCACACCAGACGGTCTCGGCGCTTGGTCTGATTTACTACTTTCTCCACAGTCTCCACCAGCGTGAACAACGCCGTTGTCAGTAAAAGAACTTCTGAATGCTCGAAATCCGACCACAGTGAGTCCACAATTGTCACCATACGACTTAGGTTCACGTCGTATGCCCCTAGCTCGAATTTATCACGCAGCGTGCGCACCTCACGGTAGCAGCGTTGCAGCAGAGCTCGAGTCTTATCGATATTCTGTTCCTTCTTTTTCTTCTCATTGCTACCACATTGAGCTTTCGGTTCTTCAGTAGACAGAGTACTACTTATTGTAGTCGTCTCGCCATCATCCGGCAGCGCAATTGTCCGTTTCTTTTTTCTCTTTACTGTTGATACAGACCCCGACTTTACATTAGCAGCAATCTGCGCTTGCATGTTACTATCCACCAACATAAACAGCAAAATAAAATGTCAGCTCACATGAAACAACAGATCAAAGAGTTTTGACTTACGAATGCCACATCTTGAGCTCTGGATCCTTATTCTCAATTTTCTTGAGCGTTTTTTCTAGTTGTAGTACCCATTTACTCTCTCGGTCTTCACCTTTCAGCAATTCAACTGCATGAGCTACAACTTTTAGCACATATTTCTTCCACCTCGTTTTCTTTCTCTCGTCCACCTTTTTTAGAACGGGCATCAGCCGTTGCAAGTGTCTGATTCCAGTCACGACAGTTTCCAGTTCTTGAGTCTCCAGAAGTTGCCGTGAAAGTTTCTTGGCTTGTTGAGTTTTCATCACAATATCATCGTCCGAGGCTTTGGATATTGTCGTGGCTTCAGTTTTATCCACTTTTGACAGATTTAAAGCCTCATTATGTGGCTGAAACACCTTATTTAGAGACATTTCTAATTGTAGCTGTAGCGTTTCTAAATTGCCCAAAAGTTCGCTCGACACTGCAGCACGTTGATTCGCGGCCAGTTTAAGCGTCGCGTCCTGTACCTGCTTTACCTCGGCCATGGCGGCTTCACATGCTTGCATCTGATTCTTCATATGCTGAAGATCTTCCTCTACTGCTCGACAACAATATTTGCGACGTGTGCTCTCGTCTAGACGTAAAAGGATGCGCTTAAAGCCGCTCGAGCAGAGCTGTTCGTTGTTTGTCGTAGCCATTAGATTTCGAAATTATCAATTATTGATGTTCGATTTACAATACCAATTATTGATGGTAGTTAATTATTGTGTTCTTACAGTGAGTGATACAGTATTTTACCGCTCGTCCATAATTTATATATTACTGTCCTGTAAGTTTTCCATTTGAAAATTATGTCCATACTCCAACAAAAACAAAGTTGTCATTTGAATACATTGGTCCTCCATGACACACTTTCAGCAATGCTTCATTATACGCATTCGATCGCGATATCATTCTATCGACACACTATTATTTGTGTCCAGTATTTTTTTCTTTGTAGATGGCAGTGGAGCAATTTGACCACATATTGGCAAATTGGCACACGAAATATACTACGTGTGCTACGCACACGAATATGCGTAGCGTCTAGACTTTCATTGCAGTGCGAATGCAACAGAGCGTGTTCTTGAATGTAGAAAGAGAAAGGACACTGCTTCAAAATTGAAAAAGGTGCTGCGGTCAGCGAAGCTATCCGTGTCAACAAGTCTCGCTCCGTCTCCGATAAAAGCGAGACAGAAAGATACATTGGACGTTGGCTCGAGGTTTTAGCACAGCACCTGTCAATTTTTGGACACATTATCATACAGACATCGCTTATTTGCATTGTCTTTCGATCGGTGCTCGTCTTATGATAGCCCTCTTATTCCAGCAGCACTATAATGCAAAGTATCCTTGTTCAAAATGTGCTTTTTCTATTTTTATTGACAAAAGGAGATGAATTACCTTAATTAGGGGGTAGTATTATACAGTTTGCCCCAATCCGTGCTCTAATCACTACTCTTCTCGTCATTGGTAAAAAAGGCCGCTTCATATCTACCAATATAATATCATGTACCACTTTCACGGTACCGACAATCTCCTCCAGTTATCTCTCGTTTAATGAGTGGGTTCGAGCGCATCTTAGCGCGTGTCGGCGGCGACGCCTTACGTTCGTATTGCTCGTCTGCCATTGAAGATGAGCTACACAACTTACAGAAGTGTATGCAGACGTGTTTAGATAAAGCCGAGCAGATAGTGAAGGTCCAGGAAGCCGTAGCCAAGTTGAACGTGCCGCTCAGTCGGGAGAACGCCGCGACTTCTGCTGACATTAAGCGCAAGTACGCGACATTCAGCTCCGATCTCCAGAACTTTGTGGAGGAGCAACGTAAGCTTCAGGCAGAAGCAGTTGATGTCATTTCCGATGTACAGCAGAAGCAGAATGAGCAGCAGAGTCGGGAACGTGTCGCCAAGTTGTTGAGTAAGATTCAGCATCGGATTACACGCAAGCGCAGCGATGCGTGGATCGAAAAGAACCTTACAGATGTAGACATTGTTGCGGACATTATCAGAGATGACGAGTTGGCAGGGCAGGACAAGACACTACGAAAAGAGTTGGTACTAGTGCTGGATCACTTGATCTCTGCTGTGCTATTGAGTCCGTTGACGACTCAATTGACATTGCAAAAGATGGACACAGTACTGAAGAGACTGGCGGGTAGATACGGTGATATTGACGAGTATATTACGTAAGTGCACGATGATTTTTTTTGCTGGTGTGAGATGATGACGAGTTCGTAAAGTTGTGACGGACATTGTGTGATTTGTTATGATATAGGTCTTCCAGTGAGTTGTTGACCAAGAAACTACCGACATATGCTCTACAGTATAAAGAGGGCACAAGTAATACGGACTCGAACAATATTGTTGATGCAGTGGAGGAGCCGCAAGTAAAAAGACAGCGAGTAGAGGCTGTTCCTGCTCCTCACTCCGATATATTGGTCAAGGTGGAGCGTACTGCAGCATTTGTTGCAGCAGCAGAAGCTGCAGGCACCGACGCGACGTACGAGGTCTTTGTATCAGACCTGCCGTGGGGAACCACGAGCGAAGCTGATGTGGCATCGTATTTTGGTATTGCTGGCGCAGTCGTGTCGGTGCAGATTCCTACGATGGCGGATGGAAGCACTGTAGGTGTAGCAGTTGTGCGTTTTGCAGCGTTGGAGGGAATGACATCGGCTTTGCGAATGGATGGCTATCCCTTTCAGGGCAAAAACATCCACGTGGCTGTACACAAGTCCAATTGAGGCAGGCTCAGTGCACATGCCGACGCTACGTATCATAGACCTTAGAAGCAATACGACCATACTTATTCAATATTCACGCTGTCTAAAAGTCCCGACATGATGCGTGACCTATCTTTTAATATATAGGCAGCCACGCCGACACGACAATACCGGCAACTGGAACAACGGCTGCGAGCATTCGGTGGGAACTGGGCAGTTTACGTGGAGTTTGGACTCCCTCGCGCGCACATGATAGGGCGCCATGGACGCACTTGCGCCGCCGATCATTACAACCATTCCTGTTCACCGCCTCTGCACAAAAAATTTGGGCTTCATGCTTATGGCTACAGAGGCGACAGTTGACGTATGCGCGGCCGCCGCCGCGCCACAACACACAGGCAGCAGCGCGACGATGAATCTGACTTTGAGTCAACGCGGGAGGAGCAACAACAGCAGGAGGGGTGAAAAAATGATTACCAATGACACTTCACGCGATTCTACAAACATCGGAGTCATCGAGCACGGTAAGTAAGGAAACAGAGAAAAATCTACGAAGTCAGAGACACTAACTTACATTCCCTGAAGATAAGACGACTCCAGATTGGTAGTCAATCGAGACGACCTACAGATGAAGCATCGTGGAGCAAGCCCCACGCTTTTCGGTATATATAGTTTTCACATGCGATGACAAATAGCTGGAGAGCTTCTTTATGGCCCTGTAAACGACAAATCCAGGCATTCATCAGCAACACCATCAGCCAGCGATTATTAAATCGTGTGTGTTGCTCCTCAAATCTACATGTAATACTTACAGGCGTAAAAACTCTGGCAGCTCACCTAGCGTAAGCTCGAGCTGTTCAACGGTCGCAAGCAAGTCGTACAACGCAAACTTGATCGTTGCCCTTTTTGGCAGATTAATGGCCACGGAGATAATCTTCTCGATCGTATGTCCAATCACGTTGGCTTCCTCATCTGTAATGTGCTTGTGCGCAAATAAATATCCGTCTACCTCGCCGGTGACGGTCAGGTATTTACGATCAAACAAATAAGTGCGCAGTTGATCCACAGCCGCTGGAAATCTGACCAGCTGAGTAGAACCCTTCACCTTCTGGAGTTTAGCTACTAACTCTTGAATCGGCGAGAACTCGTCATCAGTATCGGAATCGGGCACTTCCAGCTCTAGCGCCAACTCTGTCAATTCTGGCACTTCCAACTTGACCGCAATTATGCCCAACGAGTCTTTTACCTCCAACTTGAGAGGAGATTCCATAATTTTGGTTGCTGCTTCAACGTTTTTACAGATGCGTCCTTCGTCGTTACACAAAGCCTGTACATCATCAAACGTCACCGGCTCATCCTTCATATGCCCAATTGCATCGAGCGGTCTGCTCAATAATCCATTTAACAATTTGTCACTTTCACTTTTCATATCATCTAGCTTCTTATCCCCACAACCCGCTGGAATCTCCAGCTCCACATTCTCCACTCCTGCCATTCCCTCATCAGCCGTCACTATCTCTAAGCTCATCACATTCGTTTCGTCATCATGCTCCTGCTGCATGTCAACTGTTTCACTTTTAACATTATTGTCCTCTTCACTATACTCCATTGCTCTCTCCATCTCTGTCATCTCACCAACTGATTCTATCTGCAATTCCTCGACATTCGACTCCTCATTGTCCTGCCCTTCACTCTTGTCTCTCTCCACAACCTCGACAACATCATTATTCACCTCCTCGATTCTCTCAACTTTCATCTTTCTGTCCACAGAACTGGTTTTCTCTTCGTCTCCAATAACAATCTCATCCTTGTCCTTCTTCTCAATTGTCCTTCTCATCATTGGCCGCTTTCTCTTCTTTGTCTTCCTATTTATCTCTATATCGTTCATCATTGTATCGAATTGACACTGTATATCTATAATGTTTTGTAATTGTATCGATAACATCCTGGGCAGCCAATCACCACTCGGTCGCAAATGTCCCGCAGCTGCTTGTAACTGGCGTAATGCCATTAAAGACGACGACGCATGACGCACATGAAGGTCAAGTGACGTCAACTCCTTCTCCACCACTTTATTTATCTGTTCTTGTAGTTCCGAGTGCCCCATACGTGTCAGAATGGACGCGTACACGACGTCGTCATTCATGTTATTGTTTGGCTGTCTGACGACGATACATCAAATCTACCTAATTATGCGGACACATGGTGTGGCAATTGGTAAATTTTAATTTACCAAGAGACATAAGGTTAAGCAGATCCTAACTGAACCATACTAGCTATACTTTTTAGCGAGAGAACGACATCATTTTACGCTGCAGTGTATACTGGAATACAAAATAAATGATAGTAAGCTTGTGAGTGCTTTTGAAAATTTTATTCTGTCGGGTGGCTACTTATGTAGCTGCTGTTGATGTAGATTTAGTCATGTTGGCAGTGGTAGAACTTCTTTCGATCGTTTGACTTTAGGCGCAGATTAGAGTGATGCTCCCAGTACGCTTAGCACAAAATCGCACGGTACGCACACACCTGGACAAAATAGCTAACGACAGTCTAGTAAGTCTGCTCACATGCTCCTAAAAACAATGAACGCTTAAGTGTTGGGGACAAACTGCTATTAAGTACCTAAAAAATGCAATTTCTGTACTACCTGGTGGTACTATCAAGCTATTGCCCCGATTCATTGGGCCATTGACGGTGGTCGAGGAGGTTGAAGACCTAAATTGTAGGCTCGCTCTCCCACCGTATATAAAGACGCACCCCGCACTTTACGTGGTCGTCTGAAACGGTATGTGTATCCACAAGATATCACATATCCGCATCAGTCTAACGAGACCGATGGTGACGCCGACTGTAAGGCGAGCGTCGTTGCCGAAAAGACGACGACAAGGCGAATTACTTCCCGTCAACGATGGCAAACTAGGCAAAGTACTCGGAGAGCGAAGAGGACTCCGCGTTTGACGAGGGTCTCTCATTTTCAGTCGCTCTAAAAGGTCAAAGCGAAGTTTCAGGCGGTCATTCCCCTGACGTTTCCTCGCCTTTGCATATTGGAGTTCCGAGGACAGTCGCGAGACCTGACTCTCGAGATCAGCCACCCGCCGCTGAAAGAAGCGTTCTGAGCCTGCGTCAGGACGTCAACAGGGTAGACAGCTGCGGTAGGTGGGCTTAATCGCCACTCTTATCACGCGCATCCTGCGTTGGTGGATGTGCGCGGAAACAAACGCTCCTTTGTTGGAAGGATTTTAGCCCACCGCTATGTGAAGTAGAAGCCTTAGATCCTCGTCCAATAGAAAGGATACCCGAAAGATTTCGACTCTTGGGAACCGGTTGACGCTCTACGCATCGACGTACCGGGGCTGGTGTCCGCCTAGGAGCAGGAGCACTAGCTGCACCTTCTTTACTCGATCCAGACGGACTAGCAGAAGCGGCGTGGCGAATAATAACTGGGGGTAATTTACCACCCATTATATATCTAGCACGCCGAGTAGCGAAGTTGATTCGCTGTGACCGTTGCTTCATCGCTATTAGGATGCAGTATCGTACGACGCAAAAAATCATCTACGTGCTCATTAGTTGGTTCTTTCGCCGCAACACAATGGAAAAAGGGGAAATACGACCCAGCATTTTTCTCTGTTGTTTTCAAGATGGAAGGACGCTAAAATCTTGTAAGTGTCGATAGTGGCACGCTCTAGGAGAGACGCACTACTCCCATCCGACCTTGACCATTCGGATGGTGGTGATATTAGGGATATGCCACCGGTCACGTAGCTTCCCTCGCGACGGCGGCTTGTAACACGTTTAAGTGTAGTCGGTGAAGCCTTAGTCTCCACTGAGGCGGACGATTTAAATCGCTGACCTTCTGTCGAGCTGCAGCTTTATCCATAGGAACAGCGTGCCCCAAACTAGTCGCTGCGCCGTTTAAGCAGGTGATGAGGCTATAACCTTAGTCTGTAAAAGCAAGGAACTTTCCTCAAGGGTAGGTCCCTCACCAATAAGGGACGAATGCCTCAATAACGCACTGTGCTCTCATCACTATGTGGCGATAGTAGTGGCGTGCTCTCGTTGTATTTCACAATTAGAGACGGATACACCTCCTTAATTTGTAAATGGGATGGATCACTAAGCTCTGTTGACGGTCCAAAATTAGATGAAGGTGTTACAACCGAGTCATTAAGCGACGGCGGCGAATTCTCGGCGCGTACGTTTGGTGCTTGTACGGATGGCGTCTTTGAAGGCGAACCATCATCTCGGCCCCGTTTCGGTGGCATGGGAGCGCCATGTGTGTGTAGCTTCGTAAGTTATCAAATACCGGCTGCTGTGGAGTGACTACGAGTGAAATAAGCGGCGCGTCAAAGACGGCTAGCATTTCAGTTAACTTCTTTGCGATGTTTTCAAAATATGTAAACATTCTTTTGGTGGAGTGAAGCTCATAATTATTGATGACTTGATTCCAACTCTCCACTGGCGCCCAGACGACCGGCTAACAGAGGGGATACTCCGATTTCGTGTATAAATACTTTTCCTGCTTGTGTACCCGACGTTTGGGCGGGTTGCACTCTTCTCGGTGGACTGGAGTCGATTAAAAACTAATTTTGTTAGGGATAGGAAAAGGCGGTTGCTTGGAATTTTTCACATGTTCGCGTTATTTTTGGGAAGCGCTATGTAAATTCGTCCTGATCTATTTTGAGATCGCCTTATACAATGTCGATACTTTAGATTTTCACCTTCTGAACACTTAAGCCGTCTCGCGATCTTGTATTTGAATACTGAGGTTCACTGCGTCCAGTCGCAGTGAAATCATGTCTTGAAAACTTATGCAATCCCTGACCAAGCAATTCAGGAATGTGACTTGCGCCGATTTGCGATATAAGTCCTTGATCGCCGGGTGGCTAGATAATTCAGCCCGGAAGAGAAGTCTGTAGGTGCATTTTGGATTAAATGAAACTCCGTTAAATGTTGAGCAATTAAATTCTAATGGTCGTTTCTGCTTATTTATTGTAGTCCAAAACCTATTGCCGTTGTCGTCTTGTCGAATAAAATAAATTCTCGTTATGTGGCCTGCTCCAATAGCCCCTGAACCAATTAGAATTGACCATGGCTTCTCAAAACCCTTAACGTTTGCCGACACAACCAACAAGCCTGACTTGTATTCCTGTTCCATGGAAGCTTCCACAGAACCACCTGATGCTAAGCCCTGTTTACCTCTACCTCCTAAAGATTCAAGAGAACTTAGTTCTTTCCCAGAAGGTCGTTCCGCGCGTACTGGGAGTTGACGTTTTCCCCTGCCGTGCTCGCCTTTTGGATAGGAGAAGGGTTCCGGCTCTGCCGATTTGAACGTTGCTTTCGCAACGGACAGCTAGGGCGGAGATGCCTAGTGCTTCCGCACATGTAACATCTACGGATGTTACCTTTCTGCTCAGCAGCTTAAAGCTCAGCTTCTTCAGCATGGCTGAGGTCCATGGGTTCCGCCCTGTTAGAGGCATTTGATTGATACCATGACAGACCATAGCGAGCAAATTTAAAATTAAATTTAGCGTTAAACGCTATGTTCACTGCCTCTTCGAAAGTCGAAGACTGGACACGAGAAACTTCTGTCCTGGCGACCCCTGTACGAAGTCCTTCCATAAAAATGGTTACTCGGACTTCCTCTACCAGAGGGTCCTGCTGCATAGCAGCAATGATAGTTCGCAACTCTTGGACGTAGTCCGACATTTCTTTCTTACCCTGTCGGGTATCTAAGAAGCGTGAGCGCACACGATAAGCCTTATTAGGCGGTGCAAACACACAAGTTAATTGCTTTTCAAACATCTCCCATTTGGGAAATGCGGCATTTACAGAGACATTGCTCGTTAGAGCCACTCTCTAGCTCTTCAACCGAGCTTATAAATGGCCAAGCAACTCGTTGCGTATGTGACACAAGCATGGCGGCATCCATTGCCATTTCAACGTCTCGGATCCAGAAGAGATGATTTTCTCCCTCCTTCCCCTCAAAGGTCGTTACGTATAAAACAAGTGGGCGAGCCTTTGGCTCTGCATTGGACACAGGTATCGGAATGTACTGTGTAGGCGCAGCTGACGCTGCCTGGACATGGACCTGCCCGAGGAGCGTTGCTTCATAACGCATAAAGGCCTCAAGACGAGCATTTAGAACCTCGGGCCCTTGGGCCAAAAGGGCCTCGATTTGATCGGGCCCGACGAACGCCGATAGTTTATCTAAGGCGAGTCGTTGTGCCTCAGAGAGGTGATTTTGATTCTCCATCCTCACAGAGGGTCAGCCTTTAAAGACTCAGGTGTAGGATTGACTACAAGTGCTACCAAGTGTAGCGGAGCTGCACAGCTCTTTAACCAGAGGAAGACTTTTAGGCTGGAAGCCTCTTAGTTCTATAGAATTGAATAAATTTACGGCTAAAAGCCACTTAGTTCTAAGGAACTAATCAAACGACTTAAAGTCACCCTCTTCTAAGGAAGTAGGAGAGACTTTTAGTCAGCAAGCAATAAGCTTAAGGTTCGGGGAACCAACGCACAGAGTGCAGAACAAACTAGAAGCTTAGGGGTTCAGAGAATCTACGCACGAAGTGCACAAGAGAACAAGTCAGAATGACTTGCAATTTTAAACTCAAAAGGAGAACTGATTTTATTTATGCATTAAGATTTTATGAATAGTCCTACTCTAAGTACCATACACTAGATAATTACTATAATAGTAATTATTATATGCAGACTTTGCTATTGGATACGTGTCGTCTAAACATCTGTGTATGATGTACTTAGTACAGCGTTATCGATTATCGAATCCTAATCGATAAGATACGGTATTCGGTAATACCGTATACCGTAATACCGTATCTTTAACGCTTATACTTAATACCTCTTAAAGAGAAGTATTAAGAATACATTATATGCAATAAAAGAAACTTCAACCGTAATGTACTTTCGGAATGATGTTACAACCGTCGTGTTACCCCGTTACAACGGTCGTATTTATGACGACTTAACAATGTTCGTAATTACTTCGCAATAAAAACAAAATAAAAAATTAGAGTCAAATTTACTTATTACCTAATACTTGCACTTGAAACCTTCTGGAGCGCACTTGTGAGCTAGTAACGGTATTACTTAGAACCGTTACAAGTTCTTCGTGAATGATCT